GATCGTGTCGTACAGATCTTCATTTTCACGATCGATCAAAGCAAAACTGGCCCCCTTTTTCGTACCACTTTCAAATAACATTCGACGCGCAAGACCCGGTACCGATATACTACATTTAAATATGTCAATGCCGCGCTCGAAATAATATTTCTGTAAATTCCTCACCGCTTGTACGAAAGATTCGACGTCAAGATTGTTGTACCAGACGAGGAAATCGCGAAACGTTGTCATTTTCTTCTCGTCCCACACTCTTTGACAGAAGGCATATTCTTCGTCGGTAATGTTGGCATTTTTGAGACTTGAATAAAAGGCCTCGTGAGGTGGAAGTCGGTCGTAACGAAGTTTGTCTATATCATCGAAAAATTCGTATGGGAAAAAACTCTTACTTTCTTGAACATCGAATGCTCTTAAAAACCCCGAATAATTTATACCGGGACTCAGATATTGAGAGCTGTCTAAAAATTTAAAAGTGTTTGTACTGATGCACGAATAAGCATTATTGCGTTTGACAACGAATGCGCCGTTTTCGTCGAGTCGGAGGTGTTTGACGAGGTAACTCTTTATTAAATTAATATCGTATTTGGCCGAATTGAAACCAATGCAGATCATTTGTTCGCAATAACTTTCAAATTCTTCTTTTAATTTTTTGGAAAGCTTTTTTTCTTCATTTATCATTTTATGAATTTCCTCATCGTCTCCGATGCACTCGAGTGCGTCATCACAAATTCTCTCGTCAAACACCGAGTCCTCGAGGGCGCTAAACACATCAGAAAACTTTTGTTTAGTTAACTCGGTTGCTCTCTGAGCGATTGTTGACATGTACTCTAGCATTTTTTCGACAAGAGAATCAATGTTTGATTCAACAATGCATAGGGGTTCGGTGTGGTCTTCTACATTTGAACAGATGCTTACGGATACTGGGACGTGTTGTTCCGTATATTGAAGACTTGCACTGTTTTGACCATCATCAGTTGGTACAAGCATAGATTCACAGTCGTAAACTAAAAACCATTCATACAAACGATCACTGGAATTAACAGTGATACCGTATTGTTCTAATTTATCAAAAATTGTGTTTGGGGTAGAATAAAACCCCCTGGAAATTGTCTCTTTGTTTTATTCTTGCACACTCGCTGATGTTTTTTCAAGTTTTTCAAATACCCGAAATGACGATGACAAGTTTTGCACTGAAATTTTTTGGCGTAAGTGTCGAATTTTGTAATGTATGACAAATGATGTTCGAAGAGATTTAAGTAAATATCATTTGAATATTTACATTTTGATTTGTAAATTACATGTGCAGAACCATCATCTAGCAAAGAAAATACGTTGACATTGATTTCGAAACATTTTTCGAAATAGACTAGTTCATCTAAAGTAATACCAGGAAACGTTTTTGAATTTGAGTTTATGTCTTTGCTTTGTCTTTTGTTAAAGGAGACCCATTTTTGAAATAGCTCTTGGGTTTGTCTCTCCAACAAAGACCAATCTTTATTCAGGTGATATGCTAAACAGCGGAAAGCACAAAGGTTGTCTTTATATACATAACCTTTCTTATTCGTTGTCATTGAAATGAGTGATTTTGATTGACTGATGTGTTCAGGCACAGTAACTCTACCATTTCCCAAAACAAAATTCAAATGATATGTGACGATGCGGACATTTGTGATCAGAAATGGTTTCCACTTTGTATCGGGACGCTGACGCAAAATATAATCAGTGATGTTTAATTGCTGCATGCGATGCTGTAAACGTTTTAAATGAATTCTTCTCGATACGTAAATGGGGCGTTGAAATACCTCTTGATTGTGATAAGGTTTAAAATACCGATATTCACCTGTTTCGGTGTTTTTCAATATAAAACCAAATTCTAGATTTAAACGGAAGGCTTTTTGTTGACGGTCATAAATTTCGTTTCCTGCTTGCATAATTTCGGAAACGGTGAAATGATTATCAGTAGGAAAGTTGTATACACTATAAACATTTCCTTCCTGGTGTCTTCTCAGGATTAAAGGAGCATTCGTCTCATATACTTCCTTTAATTGTTCATCAATTCTGTCGCCTTCCCCCCATGGCGGAGACCCATTCCCCCAGGGTCTGGGTTGTAACAGACCTGCTCCTATTTGAACATGATCATTCATCTGATGAACGTACAATGTTCGTCGACAATCAAATCTTTGATGACATGTCCGACACGTATAGCCAAAAGAAGCATCCTAAACGAGAATTTAAAAAAAAAAATAAACTTCATTGTAGAAAAATAATAGTATACGATTAACCATCAATTTCGTAAAATGTGTGTTAGATTTTTTTTTATTTTACCTTCGGTGCGTGGTCTTGTTTTTTTTTTTGTGTTGATGAATTTGATGATCTTTGTTCATTGTTCTCAATTTAAAAAAAAAAAAAAAATCAAGATTCATGTGATGAATGAATCATGAATACAAATTTTAAGAGATTGTTGCCTCACTGCAGACTTGTATAGATATAATAGATATAAAATTTATAATTATGAAAAAAAAAAAAAAAAACAAAAAAACTCAAAGCTGTTGTCTTGTGCGGATGTCGAAGTGATTGAAGCATCGTTGTTCTGCTTTAATTAAAAAAAGACCAGTTAAAATATATTTTAAAAAAAAATTCAATGTTAAGCGAATGAGTGATACATGTACATGTAATGTAATATCCGCAAACTTTATAAAAGTATATATCTTTCATTATTTATTTGTTTCATTTTCAGACCAATGATGTGTGGTTAAGTTCCCGGGTCATTGTGATCGATTCAACCCCTAGAGGGCCTAGATTTCGCCAGGTTTGTTTTTATCAATTTGAATTTTTCTAATTTCTATTTTTTAAATTGTAAATATTCTACGATCAATCAAGAAATGCAATATATAAACTATCGATTAACCAACAAATGTTAATGAATGACAAACTTTCATGAAAATTATCTTAATAAAAAAATGTGAATATGGATTTTTTTTTTTATAGGTGAGGAGAAGAATTGACTTTTCCTCGGAGGCTGGGGATGGCGCATGCGTGACCCTCCAAACACCTGCAGCGTCCCCCCAAATTCCTGCAGATACGGTACATATATCTTATATTTTCATTAACAACGATTTTCAAAATGTGGTACTATACCTTGCATGTCTGCTGGTGTCTTTGATATTTTCTCTCGTCCAAGTATTCAGCGCTGCAGTTATCACACTTAAATAATTTATCCTTATGCTCCTTGCGGACATGTAATGTGCGATGTGATGAAAACTTAAAAGTATAGTCACAGTAAAAGCATTTAAATTCTGCTTTGCACACTCTAACATATCGATCATAATTGTCTTTACGATTTAGTACCTTTTCACAAATATCGCAACGAAAACTATTTGTCTTTTCGTGTACATTTTTTATAATGTCGATTGTAATTAGAAACAGTAATAAAGGACTTGTTACATAAAGCACAAAATGTCTGCATAATTCACAGTCGTTCATTCAAATGACATTGAACACCTAATTAAACAATGAGTACATTTTCCTCAGTCTTATATAGTACATCATTAGTCATACACATGCATTACATTATTTTACATAGATAATCTTTTTCCGGGTTATGACTGAATTCGTCATGTGTTATCCGAAAGTAAACAATGACGGATCCAGGGACGGCGCACCGCACGTGCGCCCCCCCCCCTCCCTGTTTGAATTTTTTGTGTATATAAAACTTATATATGTTCATTATCCTAAATAAATCAAGGAATAACATTTCTTATATGTAAAAAATGTGTAAGCTTCCGAGGGATTCATCCCGAACCCCCATCAGAACCATGGCCTTAAAAGACCTACTGGGGGGGGGGGGCTTCATTACTGCCCCCCTCCTCCTACCTTTTACTGCACCCTCTCGTTACGAAATTCCTGGATCCGCCACTGGTTAATGTATTTCATGTAAGGTCATCTTTAAAATTGTTTGGCTGTGCTCTCCCGACCGACTCAATTCCTCTACATCCCAGAAAGCGAAATATATTTTTCTTTATTCCTTTTATCTTGTCAACAAATATTTTTAAAAATTTGAGTCGGGAAAGCACAAGCAAACATTTTTTTAAGGATGATCTAACCACGATTATCTAGAGGACCTGTTTTATAAAGAAAAAAAATTACGACTACGACCAAATTTAATTCTGCTAATACCTTTCTTTTTCTATATTAAAAAAATCTTTTTAATTGTGTAGAAAGATACTTTTAGCAAGTATAATTTTAAACAAAATTATCAATTTTGCACATTTTCCAATCAGCAAGGATTTTTTTTTTGGCTCGTAGTCGTAAATTTTTTCTTTAGAAAATACAGGCCTCAGTTTTTTCCTTCCTTCTCTTTTCGTAGGAAATAAACTTACTGAACACAGATTTGTTTTATACATCCTTAAGTTTTCCTGTCCTTTTCATTACAATATAATTTATCTTTTCCAGACAATCGCAGAAGAAAGTATTCAGCAACGTGTGCTGAGGCTTGAAGAAAGTTTGGAAGCACTGCGACAGGAGCTGGAAGGGAGGGGAATCCTCCGGAAGTTGAATGTTTGCAATTTTTGCAAAAATTAAAAATGTTTAAAATTTCAACCTGTCTTTTTCAATTCTGTTAACGGTTGAAACAGACTGTAGCAATGTACTCAAAATTTACAAAAGAACCACTGGCAGAATAATACAAAGATTACAAATAATTCAAATATTTATATTTCGTTTATTAAATACATAAAGAATTTCAGAAAAGTCAACATGTTTATAAAAATTATCATTACAAAAGGATATCAATATGTCAGTCTGGTGGGTGAGCGCCTCTGTCTTGTCGAACGGCGGAGTGGTGCTGGTTGAGGCGCTGGCATGACTGGTGGAGGTGTTGGGGCTCGAATATGTACATCTTGGCCTCTTCTCCTCACACATACCGCCAGAATGATCACTAAAAAAAGTTAATCATTCTTAAAATCCCTCATGACAACCGCGTCAAACTCGGTTAGCGACTGGGACTAGATCTCGAGCTCCACCCGTCTCCTCAGACATCTACTCTTAATCGCACAAATGATCATCACTGAGAAAATCAATACCACTACACCCGTCCCTCCAAGGATAACATATATCCAAGGTTTGTCTAAATAAACAAAGGGTGGCTTTAGAAACAACTTCTACATAATAGTAATTTAAATAATGCTTTATTTTATTTATTTAAAATTATTTATTTTTTAATTCAAAACTTACTGAATGTAATAGCTGTCAATTCGACGGTTCTGATGGTGGTCGTTGCAACACTGTTTGTGACCCCACTGCTGTGCTGGCCGTTCTGAAAAAAAAGAGAAAAACATAAATTTCAATTTTATTTACTTTTTAATTTTTTTTTAAATAACATCGATTCAATTAAAAATTCTTGACGATTTATTTCCCTGACAAGTTTTCCTTTGAAATTTAAAATTATTGTTAATTTTTTCATGACATAGATAACAAAATTAAATAAATAAAAAAATATAATTACCTGACACGTGAGGGAACCTATCCGCACCGTCGTCCAGGCGTTAGCGGTGATGGCATCGCAATTAGTTTGCGGGTCACGGATAATTAGCCTGGTCAATGCTGGGTATTCCTCGACGTTAATCTTCCCCATCGCCCTCTCCAGGATGATGAAGTTTGCCATCGGGTAGTTACCACGCTCAAACTCCCTCCAGTCCCGACACTGCACCACTCCCTCTGACACCCCGCACCGCGCATCAACGTGAACCACCAGAATTACTAAGATTAGCATGAACATTGTCTCTTCGAATTTGGAATTAAGATGGCCGAATTTTTTCCTTCATCTCTTATATAAAAAATAATGACACATTCCAATTAGGGGTGGAATGGTTATTTAAATTGCGTTGTCATGAATTTTTCCCCCCAAAAAGTAAATTCTTACAGTTGATAAGTACAGGGTATTATTGTTTTTAGAATAATAGGGAAAAAAATTGGATATAAGGTACATACATAGTTCTTTAAAACTAATAAAAGACGTTCAACATCCCTGTTTAATAAAATGGAACTGGTCCTTGACCAGTGGAAGTGTCCATATTGGTAAAGTTGCCTCAAGGTTAAGAAAAATAATTATTCACAAAGAAATTGATTAATAAACGATTAATAAATGTCATAACTATTAAAAACAATAAATCTTAGTTATATGCCACTTCAATTATTCGATTCCGTAGAAGCTCAAAGTCAGTAATTTGAGGAATTCCATTCCTTTGCCCTCTTGTGAAAGTCGAGTCACCCAGGCGCTAGCGCCGCCTTTGATGTTACTCGAAGACTGTCCCCTCGCGTAGCGAACCAGCTGCATGATGGGGATATTACGCAATGTGTATATACGTCTGTAGTAGGAATGATTATACACGATTTCTAGCTAGTACAGTCTTGAATCGAGTTTGCTGAACATTACGACTTTATTCTCGTGAAAGTATTACGTTTTATTTATTCAAAAAATAGTAAATCGTGACTTTTTATAAATTGTCAGTGATTTTACTGAAGAAAAGTAGTATTATTAATTAGGTTTTTTTTCGTTTTTGTTTTTTTTTTTTAAAAAGATGATTTTACTGTTGGATTTTTAAATTTAGTTACCCTTAAACCTCGATTGTATTCTAAAACTTAATTCTTTAATGTGAATGACTTTTTTTCCCTTGAATATACAAACATCGAGAAATAAACACAGTTAAAGAAGAGATTAATGAATTGTAGGTTGTTGTTTTTTTGTACCCCCCTCCCATTATGTATGATCAAACGCGAGTTAAAATAAACATATTAGACACCTCCAATGGTCAAGGAGAAGTAAAAAAAAGTATTACATATATATATATATATATATATATATATATATCAATATATATATCAATATAGCGTAATAAGTTTACTCTTAAAATAAGTAAAAGGTAGAATGACCCCCCCCCCCCCTCGTTGTTTTAATGAAATTTAAATTGAAGCAGGGTCTGAATGAGAGAAAAAAAAATGATAAAATTTTAAAAGGGAAAATCTATACCACGCTACTGTACACCAATTAACAATCATAATAATTTACCAGGTATTGTTCGGCTCCTGCAGAGAGGACAGCCACGGGACTTCTTCAAACGCTGGAAACACGCCATGCAACAAGTTTTCTTGCATGTGTAGCACACATAGCTTACCCTTTTCTCCTCGCAGCAAAGTCTGCATTCAAAATACGTTATTGGAAATCGTGCATACATGTAACCCCACCTCACCTCTCCGGTCTGTTCATTCGTTCTGTGGGTCATGATTTTTTGAGGGGGGTTCGTATAGAGTGAGGGTTCTGTTTAGAAGACGCCATATGGTTTCCTTTGCAGTTTTTACATCTTGGGTCCTTCTGGCAACTCTTTCCGTCATGCCCCTCTTCACCACACCTGAAACACGTATCAGAGCCTTTACAATTATTTTGTCCATGCCCAAATCGCTGGCACTTGAAACAACGCAGCGGATTTGGGACAAACATTTCAATTTTCATCTGGTACAACCCAACTTTGATGTTTGTTGGTAGTGTTGGCATGCCAAATGTAAGTAAGTAAGTATTCGTTGGCTCAACATTTTCGTTATGTTTTTTTGTAAATCGTTTCACAGAGACCACTCCCTGGGATTCCAATTCAGATTGTATTTCTTGTTCTGGAATTCCATCCAGGTCATGATCCCTGTCAAACAAAATACCCTTGCTTTGGTTAAGTCCACTATGGACTTTTCCAAGAACAGGAATATCAGCTAGTTTTTTCAATGCTAACAAAGATGTCGAATGTTGTTTTTTGGTGACTTCAATGAGAAGAGCACCAGATTTCAATTTTTTCACTGATTTCGGTGTACCAATAATACCTTGTATCCCTTTTTGTATGACGAAAGGTGATACTTTTGTTAAAGGCTTTGAAAATTGATCAGATAGTTGTGCTTCAAGTGTGATGAAGCAAGGCCAGTGTTCCACAACCAAATTGATTTGTTTCTCATTAAATGAGATTTCTAGACCTGATGGGTAGCAACGTTTTTTGGAGGAAGCCATGGTTAGATAAAGTATTTTCAGAATCCTTGCTCCCCGCCCGCCTCGGAGCGCCAACAAGGGCGATGTCAAATCAAACGGATATCCAGTAAGAATGACACCAAGAGGATACAAAGAAACTATACTCGAACAGAATATATCCGATTGACCCTAAGCCACCGCTTAATATGTATATCAACATGGAAACGTCAGCGTATTGGAAACTTGCAAAAGCAAGACAAGTTATTATAAAGGTATTGCAAATGCATCAATACTAAGGCATGTTAGATAAAATCAGCTCGGCGTGACTAGCCGATTGATCAAGTCGGGCCAAACTTGACCTCCCGTCTAGATGAATATGGGGCCAAAGTGGAGTGTTGGTCTATCAGGTGCATTACACCCAGCATCTGCAGACCTCAGCCACCAGGATCCCCTTCTCCACCAACACGGGTCGCAACCCACGGCCAACAGGTTGCCCCATTTATTCGCCTCATATGACATGCAAGGGGGTGCCAGGGACCTATTCTTATCACCCCGGGTCCCCACGGGGGGACATGAGTTAGAGAAGCAAAATAGAATGCTAGATAATTTACCTTTATGTTGAAATATGCCAAACACGAATTTGAATAAAGCCATGTTTCAGGTGTGATGATTTTACTATCATTCTGAATTTAAATTGGATACATTGATTGTCACCAGGGAAAAGGGGGTGGGTGGGTAGTAATTGTATCTAAAATATCTCTTGTTTCAGCTTATTGTCGGTCATCGAGGCTATTTTTTCATTGCCATTTAGCTATTGCCATGATTGGACTGAATCAGTTAAAATACAGCGATTTCTTATTCTGCTAAAGATTAGATTTCATCTTATTTCAGGTTTCAATATGAGCCTTTTCAAAGGCAAACGCAGAAAAGGGAAGTCATTAAGATTTATTTCTTGAAATGAGTTAAATGATACCTCATTGAATATTTTTGTAACCTGTTCTAGTCATTACAATGACAGTAATATTTACAGTTTATTTTTGTCTTAATAAAAGTGTGTGAACAGTTGTTGAGATTTACAACACCATTATCTGTAATACATGTATGTAAGGCTCATTTTATTTGAAAGCAGCTGTATCGTGATACATGCTGTATTGCATTAGTGTATCGTGATAGGTATCGTATCGTGAGATAGCTGGCGATACTCAGGCCTACCAATGAAGGAATGCTCAAATCAATAACAAAAACTGGTGTATCGAGAGCATCGAACCACAATATCAGTTATTCATCCTGAAGACTTTGAAAGTATATCTACTTATTGTCTTTCTGCTCAACATTTCCCAACTGTTCTTCGCCAATGCATCTGGTGCAATTTGTCAATTCATTTACTAATACCGGGCTTCGAGTTTCACCATCAATTACAGATTGATTCATTTCAGTTTCATTAGGATCAGCACAATTTAGAGTACACAACACTTCGCCATGAAACACAACCAACAAAAAATTTCAGGGAGGTATTGGATCAGACGAAGCCCCTGCTGGAAAGCGGTTTACGAGGTTCCTTGTAGTGATATCTGCCCTGTAAAGAAGTTTTCGAAAAAGAGTCGGCTCACCAAGGGCCGCCAGAGAACCAGAATTGTCCCCTCCCCTAAAAGTCTCTTTTTTCAACAAAAAAGTCATTCTGACAATTTAGAAAGTTATGTCTGAAAACATGTATCCTCTTTAGCGTCCCGGAGGTATTTCTCCCCGTTCGAGTCGTCACCGTTAATTTCGTTAAATTCCCGCAATATAATGTCTGACGGAATATTTTTCAGGCAGTCCTGGAGGTATATATCCCTCTTTTCCTCCCACGAAGATAAGCAATCCATTTCCATGTGTTGTTTCTGGCTGGGATGATCCGTCAGGCATCCATGGCAACGTTTCTTTAGATTTACATGTAATCATCTTCCGCAAGATTTTCACGATGATGGATTTCATGCACTGATCCATCTGCTCGATGTCCTGATATGTCTCTTGGAATTTTTCCCATTCATTTTCGTTCAAGGCAATACCAAATGTGGTAGGAAGGGCAGGGTCGACATGGAAATTGAAGACTTTAAAATCCACTATGATTACATTGCTCTCGGGGAATCTCTTCGCCGTTACTCGCTTGTTTCCCTCCTCGTTTCTCTGTAAGTCCCAGGTTTTAGGCGGTGTTGTGGAGTTCTCTCTCAGTTTTTTCACATGAACGTGAATTTCACTGATAATGTTTATTAGCAGCAACCACTCGGCGCCGGAGAAGTACTTTTTTTTTTCCTGATGGTCCACATTGTTCAGTCTTATTTTCTTCTCTTTCTGGTAGATACCAGTGGTTAGAGTGATTCGCTCGCTCAGGAACATGATAAGAGTAGTCTAATTATTCGAATAGAGTTAAGGTTTTAAAAATAATCCTGTCTGTGATGTCATTAGTCAAAATGATGTCATCTATATCCAATCACTCTCCAGCTTAATTCCCGGTGGTGACGTCGGCGCATTTTTCTCACGGCTATGTCCACTCTTCTAAAGAAATGTTTGGGGGTGAAAAATCGTTCCTCATTGAAATATTCTGAGAATATTTCTCGGAAGCAGTCAATAATATTAATCCCATATGACATGTAGGAATCTCGTGCCATGGCACATCCAGGTCTTTAACTGTTTGTCCTCGGTCTGTCCAGACTCTGCAATTGATGGCCTCTTGTGTTATCCTTAAATTACGAGCGATTCTCGATAGCAGCTTTGGTCGTACATTTTGTGAAGATTTCTTCATGTAATAATATATATATTCGTAAATTTGTTGCTCTCTGTTGTACAAATTTAACTCTAGTGAGAAACTAGATAGATCTCGTAAGGGGAGAACTTCAGTAAACATACGATACAT